GTTTATCCAATGGGAAAGGATGTGCCTGTGGGCCAATAGGGGAAAGAGGCTGGGGCCCGCCCCCAAGCAGGTCGAGCCAATCAGCTAAGAGTGGCGAGCGGACGCTTAGGGGCACTGCGGGCAAGAGGGCTGGCAGCATGGCGGGCGGGGCCCGGGAGGTGCTCACGCTGCAGTTGGGCCACTTTGCGGGATTTGTGGGTGCACACTGGTGGAACCAGCAGGTCAGGGCTCCCGGTAGCTATCCCCAAGAATCGTTCGGAACTTTCAGCCCCGTCGTCCGTCTCCCCTTGTCGCACCCTTGAGTCGTCTCCCTTGTTGGCTTCCCCAGGATGCTGCGCTGAGCAGGACCACGGATGGCACCGAGCGGCCGGGAGAGCTTTGCCCTGATGTCCTGTACCGGACCGGCCGCACGCTGCACGGCCAGGAAACATACACGCCGCGACTCATCCTCATGGACCTGAAGGGTGAGTACCTTCTCCTCAGGAGCCTCCTATACTGGGCCGAGCGTTGAAGAGACGAGGGCTGACCCGCGAGAGGCGCGGTGGCGAACCTTTCTGCTCAAGAGGCGGCTCAGGAATAGGCGAGACCGGGAGGAGGGATCTGCCCCGCCAGGACTGGGTGTGGCCGAGCTGTGAGGGCGAGGGTGCGATCTGTATTCTGCTAGACACCCCACCCTACCCCGTTTGTCCCGGAAAGTTGGGCAGAGCCAGCTGCTGGAGGGATGGTGACAGCGGGCTGTTAAGTGCACTGGGGAAGACCGAGATTTCCTGTTACTTCCTCACAGGCAGTCTGAGCTCCCTAAAAGAGGAAGGAGGACTCTACAGGGACAATCAGCTGGATGCTGCCATAGCGTGGTGTGTATCTGATGTGTGCGCTGGGTAGGGGACAGAAAGTCGGACATCTCGTCATAGAGACAAGTTTCTTTGATCAATTTTTTTCAGGCAGGGCAAGCTCACCACACACAAAGAGGAGGAAGTCTATCCCAAGAATCCTTATCTCCAGGACTTTCGGAGTGCAGAGGTGAGGGCCTCTGCCCTGAGCCCTTTAACCCTGGCTAAAACCCAAGAGCCTCCACTGGGGCGTAGGAAGGGGATCACCTTACAGTAGTATTTTGGGAAAGAGCACTTCTTTTCCAAAGGACTGTGGTGGCTGGGCATGGTGGCGCTCGCCTGTAATCCTAGCACTCAGGAGGCTGAGGCAGGAGGATCGCTGTGAGTTCAAGACCAGCTTGGACTACACAGCTCCAGGTCAGTCTCAAATACATAATGAGACCCTGTCTCAAAAAACAAAACAAAAAAAAAACCACAAAGGAGTGTGGTGACCTAAACAGAAAGAGGCTGCAGCTGCAGCTGGGCGTGGTGACACACGCCTATAATCCCAGCAGTTGTGAGGCTGAGACAGGAGGATCACCAGGAGTTTGAGGCCAGCCTGGGCTACATAGTGAGTTCCGGGCCAATGTGAACTGCATAGTGAGACCCTGCCTCAAAAAAAACAAACAAACGGGGATTTAGCTCACTGATGCCACCACCTCCGTTGCAAGCAAAAGGTCCCGAGTTTGATCCTCTCGGTACCAAAACAGAGACAAGTTGGGGATTTAGCTCAGGGGCACTGTGCCTTCTTTCACAAGTTTAAGGTCCTGAGTTTGATCCCTGGTACTGGGGGGAAAAAATCAGAAAGGAGTTTGTGAGGTATGGCCTGGAACTAATAAAACTTTTCTTCACTTCTTTCAGGGAGTGCTGAGCAATGGTGTCTGGAGGGTCAAGTCCATCCCTAATGGCAAAGGTGAGCCTCCTACGACCTGAGACCTGGGAGCTATGGATGGGAGCCTGGGCAGGACAGACAGGTGCACCCCATCTGCCATGTTCAGGTCCCCCACCAGTCACCAGTGCTCCAAATCCAAAGCCACTCATCCCCACGGCGGGAAGCATCAGAGTCTGGTCAGACTTCCTCAGAGTCCACCTCCACCCACGGAGCATCTGTCTGATTCAGAAATACAACCATGATGGGTATGGAGACCTGAGGCCAGGAGGAGGGGAGGGACTGAGGGCCCCACAAATTGCTCTTGGGCCATCTTCTCCCAAGAGATAGAGAAGCTGGGGGAAGGGGGAGTTCCAAGTTTTATCTTGGACTGTCTTTCCTTGTGGCAGGGAAACAGAGAGGCTGGAGGCCTTTGGCCAAGGAGAGAGTATCCTGAAGGAACCCAGGTACTTGGAGGAGCTGGAGGACAGGCTGCACTTCTACGTGGAAGAATGTGACTACTTGCAGGTAGCTGTGCGGCAAGATGTACAGCATGGCAGAACTCTCCTCATCCTACTGTTGATTTTTATCCTTCCTCCCTTCTCCAGGGCTTCCAGATCCTGTGTGACCTGCACGATGGCTTTTCTGGGCTGGGCACCAAGGCTGCAGAGCTGCTACAAGACGAGTATTCAGGGCGGGGAGTAGTAACCTGGGGCCTGCTGCCTGGCCCCTGTAACCCTGGGGTAAGTGGAACTTGGGGAAAAAGAAGTCAGAATGGAGAGGGAGAAATGAGAATACTATGGGCAGAGTTGCTTGAGGCGAACTGTTCTCTCACCAGGAACCACAGAAAAACATCTACCGTCTGTTAAACACAGTGTTCGGTCTGGTGCACCTGACTGCTCACAGCTCTTTCGTCTGCCCCTTGTCCTTGAGGGGGAGCCTGGGCCTGCAACCTCAGCCCCCCGTGAACTTCCCTTCCCTGCACTATGACGTAAGGCTGGGTGCTTGCCCTGCTTGTAGCTGGCCATGGGGTACCCCCCACTCCCCTTGGCTGGTGGCTCTGTTCTTGAAGCCCTGATGTGGTCCCCTGGATCCCACAGTCCCGAGCTTGTCCAGCCCTTGGCCAAGCACACCCTTGCTTGTCCCTCTGACCTCTGCCTTTACGGTTCTGCCTCCATTGTTTTTCAGGCCTGAAAAAAGCCTAACTGCGCTTGTGTCCTCTTCACAGGCCTCCCTGCCCTTGCACTGCAGTGCCATTTTGGCCACAGCCCTGGACACAGTGACTGTTCCTTACCGCCTCCGTTCCTCTCCGGTTTCCATGAGCCGGCTGGCTGACGTGCTGGCCTCCTCTGGGAAAAAGGTATGAAGCTTAAGGAGGAGTGGGGTCAGCACTGAGAAAGGCTTGTGACCCGATCTCCACGTCTTTAGGTGGTGACAGCTGAAGCAATCGTCCCCTTTCCCTGGCTTCCAGGCCAGTCCCTGCCTGATACCCTGGTACAGCTAGGAGGAACCAGCCAATGGACCCCGCTGTCCGCATGTGGGGACCCCTCTGGAACACGCTGCTTCGCCCAGTCAGTGGTGCTGAGGGGTGTAGACAAAGCCAGTCACACTAGGTCAGAGCTGTTGGTCCTTGTCCTTTTCTCTGCCCTGGCATTCTAATGACATTGCTTCATCTCACCAAAATCACCCTCATTTTAAAAAATGAAGATAGTGGGGTGGGGTGGCTCTGAGCCGCATCTTACATGAGAATGTAAGCTTCTCGGCTGCCAGAGTAAAGGCGGTTTTGGCTTTTTCCGGCAGCCAGCTCCCCCCAGGGACACCACTGCCATCCCCTCTCCATGCGTGCACCACTGGGGAGGAAGTCTTGGCCCAGTATTTACAAGAGCAGCAGCCGAGAGTGTTAAGGTCAGTAGGGCATGCGCTCCCCCTCCTCCCAGACCCTCAGCCCAGCAGCCGCCTTCCTTAACTGCATTCTCGGCCCCACCCCACAGTTCTTCCCATCTGCTGCTGGCACCCTGCAGGGTGGCCCCTCCTTACCCCCACTTTTCCTGGAGCTCCTGCCAGCAGGGTGTGGATCCTTGCTATCTCCACAGGGGCACAGGTAAGTGTGAGCCAAAGGAAACTGAAGGTTCCAAGCATGGGGAGGGCTTTTACTGGCTCTTCCTGGATTAAAACTGCTTTTTTGGAAAAGTTCAGTTACACATTCCTTTATTCATCCAATGGCTCCAGAGAAGTACCCATCCTCTGGAGTAATGGCAGACTAAAGGGACTGCACACAGACTTCACCAAATGCACTCCACAGTCACGCCTACCACACACCCACACTTCCCTGTGGGTTCACAACCCCAGGCAGAACATGACCCGCTCGGCACACTTGTCTCCTCCACAGCCGAGCAGAGCATCCCGGTGCTGGGGGCCCTGCGCTCCACTTCATCCTTGCATCAGACCCTGGGAGGCTTGGCCAAGGAGCTCACACAACTCGACCTGCGGCGCTGGGCCAGCTTCCTCGACGCGGGGGTAGAACAGGACGATGTGGAGGAGCTGCTGCAGGAGCTGCACAGCCTGGCCCAGTGCTACTGGGAGAGCGGCAGCCTCACAGACTGAAGCTCTCAGGCTGGGCACTTCCTTTGCAATAAAACCGCTGGCCACAGAGCCCAGCATCCTTGGCCGGGGAGTCTGTCTTGAGACTGGGCTACATGACACAGGCGTTTCTTACAGTTAGACACTGGCCCACAATAAATAGGTACCATCCAACGAGGGAGAGGGAGCAGAGCCCACGCTCGCAATGGTTATTTACAGAGTGGACCGGAAGGGCTGCAGGTCTGTCCGAGGCAGGACACAGAGCCCATGCCCACTCACCGTCATTCGGTCGGACAGGGAAGGAAGGACAGCGCCTGGTCCCGGTGCAGGCTGCCTGCAGAGCTGGGCCCGGCTCACTCCTCCAGCTCCTCCTCAGACAGCAGGTCCCCATGGTCCGACAGCTGGTCTGTATTGCTGGTGCTGGTGGCATCGTCCTCGTCCTCCGAGCTGGCCTCGCAGGCCGTGTGGAAGAGCTGCATGAGCTCTCGGAAGCGCAGGGAGACCTGGCCGAGGAGAAAGGCTAGTTCACCTTCTCAACTAGTAACCCTGACGTTCTGAGCCGAGCGTCCACCAGGAGAGCTGTGTTTATTCCACACAGTAGTAACGCTGAGCACGGTGCCCACAGCGGGTCTTCATGCCCCCTCGGCCGCTGCCCACCACTCACCTCCGCTGGGGTCTTGTTTCCCAGCTGCCGAGAGATGCTGCTGAAGGTCTGCGGCTGTGCTCCTTGTTCCTGGCACATGGTGAGGATCACGCGGTCTGCCTCCCTGTAACCCACGTGCCACCATTAGCCCTTTGGAGTCACACGGAGGCGACTACGCTTTCCACACACTCTGCAGCCTGACCCACCTGGTCCACAGGACGACCTTCTCCCCGGTGGAGCTGACCTTGCTGTTGTTCGCACACACTGTAGCTTCGGTGGCCTTCAGCGGCTGCTCCCCCTCCATGCCCCTGACCTGCACACCCCCATCTTTAGCCAGACTCCTCCTTGCTGCCTCAGGAGCTGTCCCCGAGAGTGGCTCTTGGGCAGGGGATGTCCTACTGGCCCTCCTTGCCCCAGCTCTGCTGGAGGGCAGCCAGCTGTCCCGGTCCGGTTTCCCGGGTGCAAGTCTCCTCGCAATGACTCTGGTCCTCGAGGAAGCAGGGCTCAGGAAGGGGGCAGCAGGCTCCGTAGGGCCCGGCAATATCTCGGGCTGCGAAGTGGCATCTGCGTCACCCACTACTCTGCGGCCAGCCCCTTCTTCCGGTGGGGCGCGTGCATGACCAGAGGGGCCCTCAGGCCCCACCGGGCTTCTCTGCACAGCATGCGGGTCAGCTGCACTCGGGAGAGGATGCTGGGGGCCCTCTGGGAGCCGGTCTGTAGGAGGTGTTTCTTGCAGGGAGAGCAACAGGCTCCTCCCTGTCGATGCTGGGTAGGAGGAAAATAAGGCTCTAAGGACAGTGCAGGGAACAGAGTGCACCTGGGGACTGGCAGCAAAGTCCCCTTGGGAGACAAGTTGGGGAACCACTTCCAGAGAAAGAAATCCCCACCGGAGCCGAGCAGGGCCACGTAAGTCATCACAGGAGCTAGGACAAGTCGCTAAGGAGAAGGTGTTGTCCCCTCAGTGCAGGGGGCGCCCTAGGCCCAGGGGAAGGCAGGGCCAGCCACTCACCCGGAGCAGGTGCATCCCCCTTGCGGGTGGTCCTGCCCGCCCTGCTCTGCAGGGCCTCGGTGCTCTCCCGGTCCTCCAGGGCCTCCTCTTCCCCCAGCTCCTTGCCTGGCCCTGCATCCTTCGTGCTGCGCCCAGGACTGGCCTCTCCGTGAGGGCTGCCGCTCACAGACTCGGGGAGCTCCTTGTGCTTGTAGGGTTTGCTGTCACAGACCTGCAGAGACAGCCTTCCTCGTCACACCTGTCCTGACCTCCCCAAGGGTTCCAAATGCCCAGAGCAGGGGGCCTCACTGCTCTGAGGACCACAGTTTTGCTGCCAACCAACTACATTCTAGAGAAACTGAATTACTTTTAGAGTCTGTTTTTCTGACATTTGTTTCACTAGTAAAGAGTTGAAAATATTTGAACTATTCACAACTATCACCACCCTACCCCATTCCAAAAGCTTTACTCACAGGATTCTCTTTGAAAAGCAAAATCTATTTTGTATTTTTAAAATCCATGGGCTGGGTATGGCAGTGCCCACCTGTAATCCCAGCACTCAGGCAGAGTACCATGAGGTCAAAGCCAGCCTGTGCTATTTGTTAGGCTGGAGGCCAGCCTCAACTACATAGCCAGACCCTGTCTCAAAAAACAAACAAAAAACCTGGAAAGTGTGAGGTTATGAGTTTGAGTCCCGGTACCAGGAAAAAAAAACAATTTATTTTGACATGTACACTTATGTGTATAGTGCACTAGTTATGTATATAATCTTTTTAGGAAATCAAGAAGGTAAAACCCTGTAGAAGAAAACCACACTGGTAACACATGTCCCGAGGTCACCCTGACTGTGGGCACCCTCAGTCCTGCACCCTGGGCACGTGCCTCACCTTGCTGCCACTACAGTGGCTACAGTTTCTCCGCTTGGTCTTCTTCAGCCTGGAATCGGGACCCCCTTCGTGGCAAGAACAGGCACAGTCCTTGGCCCCATCTGGCCACTCTGTCTCCTGTAAGACACCTGGGCTTGATCAGTGCCAAAGGAGGAAGCTAATGTGCCAGCCATCTGAAGAAGCACCTCCCCTTTCTTGTAATACCCTCGCATCCCACTGCCTAGGGAGGTCACTGGCCAGAAACGACCCTACCCGGCTGGAAGGCCAGCCAAGCCTGACCTCCCAGATGTTCCAACTCTAAGAGACTTGGAAGTAAAGTCAGGAGAGGTCCAGATGGAACTCATCTACTCACGCGTCTAACTGGGTCTCTGTATCCCTGTGCCTTATCTTGCCCCTCTCCCCCAAATGTCTCAAGAGAGGACTTTGGACATGTGGAAGGCTCACTCAGTGAATGTGTCTGTTTAATAAACCCAAGACATAAAGACCACTACCACCCCAATTACGGTGAAAAAACTGAAACAGGCTATTCTACAGTGCAGTTTCTCACAGAAAAGAGTGAAGATAACAGCAAAGAAACACAGGTTTAAAATATTCTTGAAGAACAGTGATTAGGAGCAGACTCTAGAGCTGGATTACCTGGGTTCACATTCCAGCACTGCCAACTGTTAAATGTGACCCTGGCACAGCCTCTCTGCACTTCAGCTACTTCTGTAAAATGCAAACAACAGGGCTGGGGATTTAGCTCAGTGGCACTGCGCCTGCCTCGTTAGCACAAGGTCCTGAGTTGGAACCCTGGTACCGAAAGAAAAAAAAAAAAAAGGAAACAATAACAATCTTTCCAAACTAGGCATGGTGGCACGTGCTTGTAATTCCAGCACTCAGCAGGCTGAGGCAAGAGGATCACCTTGAGTTCGAGGCCAGCCTGGGCAAAATAGCAAAAACCTGTCTCAAAAAACCAACCATACAAAAAACAGGGCTGCGGATTTAGCTCAGTGGTTCCGCCACCTGCCTCACAAGTGCAAGGTCCCAAGTTCAATCTCTGGTACCAAAAATCAAAAAACAAAACTCTGTATGGGATTATTGCGAGAACTGAGAGTGATCCCGATACTAGGTAACATGGCTAAGTATTTGCTGCTGCATCCTGAATATAGGAGTCCTCGGTACATTCCCCCATAAATAAAAGTGCAAAGACCAAGAGCAAGAAAACGCTGCCGAGTATAGTGGTGCACGCCTGTAATCCCAGCACTCGGGAGGCTGAGGCAGGAGAATCGCTGTGAGTTCAAGACCAGCCTGAGCTACATAGTGAGTTCCAGGTCAGTCTCAACTACATAGTGAGACCCTGTCTCAAAAAAAAGAAAAAAAAAACAGCTCTGAACTGGGGAACCCCTGGGCCTTGCCATGTCCATAGCAGTCAGGCATCTGGACTGGGTTCCCCCCAGTTCCTGGTGACACCAAGCCAGAGGAGCATTTGAGGAGAAACTCAGGCTTGACCCTTTGCAGCCTGGCATACCTTATCATGATTCTGAGCCCCAACCTCTTTCCTTCTCTTGTTCTTTGAGGCTGTGGGGATCTTGGGAGGTTCCTCTTCCTCTTCTACATCAGGCAATGCCACTTCTTCAAAGCCGTCAAACTGGGGAGGAGGTGGTGCTGCTGAGCAGACCCCATGTGGATCCCTCCCACCCTCCTGCCGCCGCAGGCCCTGTACCTCGTACTCTTTTTCCTCCGTCCAACTGATCTCTTCAAAGTCACCCATCCGGCTTGCTGCTGGGCGCAGATGATCAAAGAAGATTGAGAATTCATCCTGTAGGTGATCATGGCCCTTGAGGAGCTGCCACACCTGTGTCTTGAGCTGAGGAGAGTGGCAGAGATAAAGATGACATCTGCAGGGCCTACTACCTGCATAGGGAAACCTCACAGACATCAGTGACTCCATGGGCCCATAACTGCAGACTGTGTAGCTAATACCTCATTTGCACGAACAGCAAAGCCATGGCAACATTAAAAACAGATTCACATCCTTAGATTGTAAGCCCACCGGACAGGTACTGTGTCCAATGTTTTGTGTGACACCTTTGTTACAGCTCAATAAATGTTCAACAACAACAACAAAAAGATGACATCTCCAGAGGTCGTCAAGACACAAATCAAAGCAGGCACATACACTCCCACTGTACATACATTGCTCTGTGACAGAATTCTCAAGGCTCTCCTCCCTCTGGCCAGCACCTGGGCCAGGGTGTTAGTAACAGATCTGAATGCGGATCAAGCAGAGCAAAGAGGATTCTCTAGGCACCCGTGACCCTCAGAACAAAGGGACAGAACGGACTGAGGGGGCAGCAGAAAAGGTCGGCAGTCCAGATGACGACAGAAGAAAGGCAGAAGGCAACAATACCTCTGCGATCTCATGAGGGACGCAGTCTGCACAGCCCTGGAGGACCTTGATGATCTTCTGGTGGTGTGAGGGGTTTTCTGCAAAGCAAATCTCCAGCTGCCGGAGGAACTTGCGACTCTTCTCAAAAGCCTGCTGCTCCTCAAACTACCAGAGTGGAAGGAGGCAAAATAGGAGTCAGCTACATGACGGGCGGCCCTTGAGGGCACTGAGGATGAGCACTAGAACATGGGGACATAGGAACATGGGCTTGCAGGACTCTGTTAAAGATACCCAAACTCAGATGGATAAGCACCCATCTGAGAAAGATGGCATCACATGCATGATCTCCCACAACTGGCACAGACCATCAGAATCATCTACTCCATTTCGCCCTTTCTTTTTTTGGTTGTTTTGGTTTTTTGAGACAGAGTCTCACTATGTAGTTGAGACTGACCTGGAACTCACTATGTAGCCCAGGCTGGTCTCGAACTCACAGCGATCCTGGGATTACAGGTGTGGGCCACCACACCTGGCTCTTTCTCCCTCTTTCTAATGGTCATGACAAGAAGTCTGGGACAAGGGACACAGCTCTCATGTTGAGAGTCATGTTCAACATTTCAAACAGTGCCACCATGGCCTTTCCAGACCGTGTCCAATGGCATGTGCCAGTCCTGCACATACCTGCCACTCTCCAGACTAAAGCATCACCACTATGAAATACCACAGAGGTACATATATACGCCTAACTTTCCCCAAGAGAATATAAACTCCCTGAAGGCAGGGACTTTCCCCCAGTCCTGGGGATTGAACCCAGTGCCTTGACACTGAAGTGTATCCCCCAGCCCTTTTCTTAATGTTTGACACAGGGCTTAGATTGCCAAATTGCCCAGGCTCAGCTCAGACTGTGTATACCTCCTGTCTCAGCCTCCCAAGGGCTGGAATTGCAGGTGTGCATCACCACGCCCTACCTTTTCTAGTTGCTGTATTTCTAGTGCTTAGATCTTGGTCTGGTACTGTGCCTCAAACACAACAAATATTTACTAAAGAAATGCCTGTATTACACCAGAAAGGAGCAGAGCTACTAAGGGAGGTCTCCAAGGGCAACTAAAGCCCTCTCATTCACCATGGAAACAAAGTAGGGCATGCCTGGGGTGGTGGCGCATGCCCGAAACCCAGCAGGCTGGGAATCTGAGGCTGATGTTATAGCCCAGCCTGGGCAACTCAGTAAGACCTTACTTAGGACAAGGGAGATGAGGTGAGGGGATACAGCTGGGTTCAACACAGGACGATAACAGTAGGGAAGCGGAGGAGAGGGTGGGGAAGAACACTCCCTGAAAAGACAGAGGGAGGCGCTTACCATTTGGGGAAAGGGCCCAGGGACCTGTCTAGGGACACTCAGCAGCCCTGTGTGCTGTTTTTGCCCATTTACTTACTAATCCACAGGCCAGAGCTTGCTCGGGCAAGAGGAAAGCAGCGAAGTCCTTCAACAGCTGAGGCCAGTCTCGGAGCAGAATCTGCAGGCTTTTATACAGATCCACAGCCGTTTGCCTCTGGGAACTCGACTCAAATTCGTAGATGACCTGGAGGAAGTCCTCATACTTGCCCGGGATGTGCTGAAGGGCTTCTCGTACCTACACAGGAAGACTTCCCATCATTGGCACCCTTTCTTTGGGCGGAGAAGAAGCAAAGGCACATGGGAAAAGGAGAGGTCATGGCCAGTGAGCGACAAGAACTACCCTTCAGAGGAGCTGCCTGGGCGGTGGGGGGGGGGTCACACCTGCTATCTAACAGAAGACTCAGAGGGCTGGGATGTAGCTCAGCGGTGCAGTGCTTGCCGTGCACGAGACCCTGAGTTCAAGCCCCAGCACACAAAATTATCTGAAACTGGTTAGTCAGCGTGGGGGCCCATTCAGGGGAAGGCCAAGGCAGGAGGAATACCATGGCTTTGAAGCCAGCCTGGGCTACATAGCTAGGCCTTGTCTCAAAAAAGTGGGGGCCACTGCAGGGATTTAGCTGAGTGGCACCGCGCCTGCCTCCCAAGTACAAGGTCCTGAGTTCAATCCCCAGTATGGAAAAAAAAATTTTAAACTGGGGCAACAATCACAGTAGAGCTGTTTTCTGCTAATAGGCAACAAGAAAACCTTCATTTTTCAGAGATGAAAGCCTCACCCACAAAACAAGCTAATGCTTTTCTCTAACTCATAACGCTAAGCTGTCCTTCCCGACTTCAGCACATATTGAAATAAAAGTATTTCAACATTAAGTGCCATTGGAGGGGACGTAATACATAAATCTAGGATGTTCATAAAATATTAAGAGACCAAGCAAAGCCATAACTATCACTGCAATGCTTCGGTTTACTAGCAGAATGAAGGAACCAGCTGGCTGCCAGGAGAGCTGGCAGTGCCCAGGACATGAGGGGACACACACAGGTGGGGCCATGTCTGAGACCTGTACTCCAGCCCGTGTACCCTCGGTCATTCTTCTGGAGCCTGAGGCTCAGGAGAAGTCACTGGCGAAGAGGCATCGCCTTTTCCCCTCTCTGGGAAAGAGAGAGATAACCCTAGGGCACTCACCATCACCAGGGCTGGCTGAGCTCTGTCACCCTACAGTTCTCACAGTGCTGCCTATCATTCCAGGCAAGCTAAGGCACACTCGACAGTCTATTACAGTTTAAAAATCAGACTTTTCTTCCTTTGGCACTGTGGGAAACTGAGCCCAGGGCCTCACACATGCTAGGCAGGCGCTTCAGCACGGAGCTATACCCTAGCCCCAGGCTTCCTGTAAGACACCTCCTGGGGCCTGCAGTAAGAAGCAGCAGCTGCCTACCCTGCTCAGGTAAGCCTGGGCAAAGGCCAGGTCCTTCTGCTCCCTCAGTGGATCCCGCTCAAGGATGTCCTCATCATAGAGCAGCAGCAGCTTGGAGGTGTCCTTGCTGGCCCGGGCACGGCTTCCACGCTTGCTGCGAGCTCGATGGCTGCTCCGGCCCTTTCCAGTAGCTTTGCTGCTCTCTCCTTAGGGTGCATGGGAAAAGATTATTTCATGATCTCTGTCCCTCCCCGCTTCCCCCCACATGCACCACCCCGCAAAGCCGCTCCGGAGAAGAGTGGCTGGGAACCTGCTAGGAAAGGCAAGCCCGCCCGTCAGGTCGGCTCCACCCAGGGCCGGCAGCACAGTCACACTGCCTGGGCGACAACTGCCACCGCCTCCTGAGAAAAAAGTCTACAGTGTGGGAGCTGCAGAGCGCTACATCTTGATGAGCAACAGTGCTTTCTGAAATAAACACAGCTCAACCCCACGCATGACAGCCGAGGAGCTGACAATCAGATTCATCACTTCCGGGACCCTCCAAAAGCCCGTGTTTGGGGAAGGGCGGAGGATTCGCTCCAGACCGTCCCGTGTGTACGCTGCCTATCTCACCTGTCGGGATTCTGCAGGTCTCCACTTCGGGCGCGGTCTTAGGCGAGGCCAGGGTAGACTGGGGCTTCTCGGAAGTGTCTCCACCTGTGTCATCAACCATCTCTTCCTCCTTCTGCAGGCTCTCTGCTCCTTCTGCCTCTTCTTCCTCTTCTTCTTCAGGCTCAGAATTCTCCTCCTGCGAGTTCTCTTCCTCAGACTCACCCTCCTGACTCATGCGCCTCTCAGATGCCAGCCAAGTCAGCTTCTCCATTGTCTCCTGCAAGCCCCAGGCAGTGCTCAGAAGCCACCCCAGGGACTCGGAAAGTGCTAACACCTGCTACAGTGTCAAGAGGACCTGGGGTTCAGCCATGGAGCCCAGCACCCTCTGGGATGTGCGACCCCAGGAGCTTTTGTTTGGTCTTGCTATTCAGTTCATGCTGCCCTTGAACTTGCAGCAATCCTGCCTCAGCCTCCTGAGTGCTGGGATTACAGGTGTACATCACATGCCCAGCCCAAGGAGCTTTTTCTTTTTTTTTTTCCCAAGCGGTACCAGGGATTGAATTCAGGACCTTGTGCTTTCCAGGCAGATGCAATGCCACTGACCTACATCCCTGGCCACACGAATCCCTGGAGCTTTTTAAAAGGTTCCTCTATGACACAATTTTCTTTTGCTATAGCCCATACTTGTGAGCTGTTGTCTTTTTCCTTTTCTGCAGTGCTAGGAATTGAACCCATGGCCTCATGCATGTTAGGCATGTGCTCTATTGCTGACCTACACTCCCAGTCCTAAGATGTTATTTTTTTAAAGAACTTAAAAGTGTGCAAGCTATTCTATTTAATTCTTACATGAGTTTAACTCAAATAAAATAGGTAAAATTTTACCCTTTCCCCCTCATTTCACGTCAGCCCCCAAATTATGCCCCATAAGGTATTTGAAAGTCAAACACCAGGGCCAGGGATTTGGCTCAGTGGCACTGCACCTGCCTTGCAAGCTCAAGATCCTGAGTTTGATCCCCGGTACAAAAAAAACAGTCAAACACCAATGATGTTAGGACTGTGACTCATTTTGGTGAGCAAAGAGGCAGATGGCAGACCAGTGAGTTAAACATACTACTGCGTCCCCAAAATGCTCGAGGCTCCTCCTCTCTTACCTGGAGCTCCGGCACAGAAAGCACAGACTCCTCAGACGCTGACGACATTTCGTCTTCCTCATCCTGGGTGAGGTCGTCAAAGTCCTCCTCCTCCTCTTCCTCGGGACCATCCTTCTCTCCTACGATGTCTAGTCCTGCTGGGGTCCCTGCTGACTGCGCATCAGCCCTGGATGCCTCGTCAGGCTTGCCCGGCGAACTGCTGAGGGCCAGCTCAGGCTCCACGGAAGTTGGGGCATTCCCATCACCGGCTGCGCGGCCCTCGTCAGGGGGCTCCTGAGGCGCTGAAGGGGCCTGAGCCAGCTGGATCCTCTTCTCCTCCTCCTCCTGCAGTTTCTTCAGCACTCTAGCAGTGCTCAGCCCCTCCTGTGGGGGGCCAGCAGCATCCCACTCCACAAACCGTTCCTTTTTTATTTCATCGAAGATGTGCTGCTCAGGGAACCCACTGGAGCGCGTCTCCCCAGGGTCTTCAGGTTCCATCTTGACGGCTTCCTTCAAGTCCTCAGGGGAAGAGTTTTGAATTCCCTGGAAGCCTTGAGGCAGTGGCTCCAGACCTTGCCTCCCCTCCTCTTTTTTCACAGTTGTCCAACCACAAGCACTGTCTTCTGACAATCCGACCTGACCTTCTCTACTCGCTGGCAGGGGCCTGGGGCTGTGCTCCTCTTTGGGGAAGACAGGAGCACAGAGAGGAATTACTTCCTGGGGTTCTAATTTGAGTTCCAGGCTTTGAAAGGTGTTTTTCCCTTCAGCCAAAGGACAACCGACGTCCACATTCACTCGGGCCTTATCTTCAGGAGTGGATGTCACAGGGAGACTCACAGAATTGCCAGAAACAATTAAGGGTGAGATGGAGGAGGCCATGAGGGGCTGGCTCAATGGACAGGGAAAGGAGGTGGGGTTCACCAGGAGGGTGGTGAAGGGGATGGTCTGGGGGCTCGGGGCCACAGCCGCGCTGACCGGCCGGAGCACGCTGCACCCGCTGCCCAGGCTCACCACCTTCACAGTGGCGGCAGGAACAGTGAAGATAACAGGTGCAGAGTGGACGAGCGGGGCAGGTTTGGGACACGGAAAGGCCTTGGACCCCTTTCTTCTGGAGGGTTTCCGTCTCACACATGGCTTTCGAAACCTGGACGGGCCAAGTGAGGGCAGCATTACCTTGGGCACAGGGGCAGAGGGCAGCAGAGTCTGGGGCTCAGACAGAGGGAAGCCCGTACTGGCCTTGGGGGCCACGGCAGACAATGCTGCAGGCGACTCGAAGCTGTCATCCCCACCAAGCGTCAGCGGGGGGACCCCAGGAACAGTCTGTAAGACAGTGGCAGGCTGGATCAACTGAGGAACCCGGACCACCATTTTGCTTGGAGGAACTGATGATCGCTTCTGCCTCCAAGTCTTCCTGGAAAAGCGGTTGGGGACGGGCTTCAGCTTCAGCACTACACCCTTGGGCAACAGCAGCGGGTAGCAAGTCTCATGCCCGGGCTCTGCTCTGGCTTTTTCCAAGCCTTGGTCTGCACTGACCTCGGTGGTCCCAGTCCCATTTCCTACCACCCTGGCGTCACTGGCTCCGAGCCGCAGCTCTTCCTGGATGGATGGCAGACTGGCCTGTGGGGAACGAGAACATTCTGATCCGGCTCAAGTCAGATTTGGGGAAAAGCACAGGGAGTTCTAGAGTACAGAGAACTTTCTGGGACAGTCCCAGGGATCTTTCCAAGAGTGTTTTCCTGCATATCCAATTAGTATGCAGACCACATGGAATTATGTAGTCCACAAGTTCTTCCCTGAATAAGAGAAATAAGAAATTACCATTCTTCCCACTATTTAGAAAAGGCTGCAGGTCACAAGGGGGACGGGGCAGATTGCGGAAGTCCTGTTCTACCACTAAAGCCCAAGAAGCGTGAAGCGGCCCTTGTCCCCGCCAGCGTTTCCAGGGAGCCGCCTCCTGTAGGCTGAGTGGAAGGCTGTACCTTTAACCAGAACGGGAGCCGGTGCTCCTCCCTCTCCAGAGGGGGCTTCCACTGATGGGGCTGGACCTCTTCGCAGCACTTTGACAGGACAGGCAGCTGTTTGGTCTTCTTGTAAAACTGAGCGTGAAGAGGCAAAGCCTGCGTTACATGAGTTACACTCCAGAAACACCGCCTGTCCACCAGAGAAGGGAGCTCTCTCACTTTCACACCCCCTGTGCCCACTGCTGTGTATCTCCAATTAAAATAAACTCTAATTCATAAGGACTCGAGATGAGACTCATTCAGTGTCTCTGTCCATCGCCACTCTGGCTACCAGAAGTATAAAAAGTCAAGCAGGAGGAGGACGGCAGTTCTCCCGGACCTGCTCCCACTCCTTTATTTTTTTCTCCATAAGAAACCAAATTTAAATGCAAGATTTATAATGGCGTTTTTTGCTATTTTAAAGTTTTACAGAAAGTAAGATTGTATATCAGAATCATCCCATTGGATAACTTTTTGCTTTTGTTTTCATTTTCTTCCTTTGAGATGTATAAATAAAAAGATTTTTCTTTTTTTCTTTTTTTTTTTGGTGTTTTTGAGACAAGGTCTCACTATGTAGTTGAGACTGACCTGGAACTCACTATGTAGCCCAGGTTGGTCTCGAACTTGGAGTGATCCTCCTGCCTCAGCCTCCCGAATGCTGGGATTACAGGCGTGCACCACCACGCCCGGCCTTTTTTTGAGACAGGGTCTCACTATGTAGTTGAGACTGTCCTGGAACTCACTATGTAGCCCAGGCCGGTCTCAAATTCAAAAGATTTTTCTTCAAGAAACCACAATTATAAATTAAACATCAATTTGGCCACTGCCCCAAATTTGAAAAGTCATTTTCCTTCCTCTCTATATGTGCAAATTATTTTCATATTTTAAATATTATGTTTAGACATATCACAGAGAATTTTCTGGAGCACAAAGCTGACTCACAGAAGAAAGGAGAAATATATTTTCCCTGACCACCCCACCAAAAAAAAAGCATTTTTTTGTTTTGTTTTGGTTATTTCTTGAAACAGGGTCTCACAATAAGTTCAGGCTGGCCATGAACTCACTGTGTGGCCCAGACTGGCCTCAAACCCATGATGAGCCTCTTGCCTCTGCACACGTATTAGATAACAGGCATGCGCCACCATACCTGCCCAAAACAAGATTTTTTTTTTTTTGTACCGGGGATCAAACTCTAGTCCTTGTGCTTGCAAAGCAGGCAGTGCAACCACTGAGCTAAATTACCCAGCCCTCCAAAACAAATTTTAATGAATATTTTAGCACTCAGAGAAAAAACTGGCACTGTGTTACATTTTTGTATGTGGAATATATTTTTAGTAATATTAATACTGCTCTACTTTGCCTTTATAATTACTAAAAACTCTTCCATAAACTGAGGAAAACAGGAAAGAAATTTCCACCTTCTGAACTAGTAAATAATGATTGATGTTACCTATTTTCCTTAATTTTAAAAAACTAATGAAGGGCCGGGGATTTAGGTCAATGATTTCACCACCTGTCTTGCAAGCACAAGGTCCCAAATTCAATCCATGGTACCAAAAAAAAACAAACAAACAAACAAAAAAACCTCATGAAGTCTTTGAGAGGCAGCAGCCTGCATGGCACCAGACCTCAGCCTCCTCCCAGTCACAGCTGGACCACACAGGAAGGGAAGGCTGGGAAAGCAGCCAGAACAGAACGACATCCCCCATACTCTCCCCAAAGGTCTGCTTTAAACCATAAACGGCACAGGGCACAATGCCCACACTTAAAGCCCAATACCCAAGGAGGCTGAGAGAAGATGATCATGAGTTTGAGCTCAGCCTGGACACTTCTTAGTGACTTACTGAGACCCTGCTACAAAACAAAAAAATTATAACTGGACAGGGGCACACTCTTACCTTACATGGGAACATGGCCTTTTAAAAAAAACAACAGTATAGGGCTGGGGATGTAGCTCAGTGCTCTTACCACCTGCCTCGCAAGCACAAGGTCCCAAATTCCATCCCCACTACCCCAAAAATAAAAAAAAAAAACCCAACAGTGTGGAAGGCAAGGGAACAAAGAAGAGAGAAACTAGAGCTTGTTTGAAGAATAAATGAAGCCAGGGGAGGCTGCATACACCTGTGATCCCAGCACGCAGAGGCTGAGCCAAGAGGACTGCAAGCTGGAGGCCGGGCCCTGAGCTACAGTGCAACGGAGACCAGCCTAGAACACAGCAAGCTGCTGTCCATCCAAAAAGGAAATAAAAAGGAGTATTGGCCGTAAGCCACTTCAAACTACTGACAGTAAGCACCCACTCACTCAGCAATGTGGAGCACCTTCTATACACCTGGCACTGGCCACAAGCCAAACACAAACACAAGCTACATGATTCCTGCTCTTAAACAATAGGCTAGTGGGAAAGACACTCAAGTGGACTAATAATTATGTTCTACATTTGTTTTAAACTACAAAGATGCTGGGCCTGGTGGGGCGCGCCTATAATCCCAGCACAAGGGACAGTAAGGCAGGAGGATCACCACAAGTTCAAGGCCACACAGAGAGACCCAGTCTGAAAAACAAACAAACAAACTGACAAAGATGTTCATTAAAAAACATGAGACACAATTCAAATATGAACAAAAGATTTTCCAGAAGGAAGTGTAACTAAAATTAAAATTTAGAAATTGCTGCATTAGGCAGAAGAGCGCAAAGTAAACTAAATGTAAAACCATGAATGTGTTGAAGGAACCAAAGAGCTTGGCCTGGGGTGGTGGCACACGCCTGTGATCGTCTGTGATCCCTGCACTAGCAGGTCCCCTCCCACGGCACCCTCCTCCTGTGATCCTGTCTCCGGCTGATGCTACTGTCTGCTGTTTTCTAAGTCCAGGAGCTGGGTCTCATTCTTGACTTGGGCTTGGTCGGCACCGCACATCCTCAGCATTTGTTTTGTGCTTGGTTCTGGACTTTTTTACTGCTGCATTAACAGAGTAGTTCACTCTCAGTGTAATTCTGACCTCATGCCTTCTGTCTTTGCATCGCCACATCGCCTGGTCCTCAGCTTTTCTTTTTTTGTCTTTTTGAGACAAGGTCTCACTGTGTAGAATAGGCTGGGCTTGTACTTGCAACAATCTTCCTGCCTCAGCCTCCTGAGTGCTGAGATCACAGGTGTGCCCCACTAGCTCCTCAGTTTTGATTCAAATTCTACAAATCATATTATGAGAAACTGATGGGCTGTGTGTGGTGGCGCATGCCTATAATCCCAGCACTCGTGAGACTGAGGCAGGAAGATCACCATGAGTTTGAACCCAGCCTGGGCTCCATAGTGAGTTTCAGGCCAGCCTCAACTACACAGTGAAACCTGTCTTAAAAAAACAAGCAAACCAACAACACTACTGACCTTCCCCAAAGGCCAATGCCCAACGTGCCATGGCCCTTCTTCCCCACACAACCATCTTGCCTTTTTTAACAAACCTCATGAAAAAATTGGAACACCAAAACTGCTACTTCCAGGGAGGCTGCTAGGATTACAGGTGTGTGTGGCCACCATACCTGCCCCCTTTTTTTTTTGAGACAAGGTCTTACTATATAACCCAGGCTGGCCTCAGACTCACAGTGACCCACCTGCTTCAGGATCTGCAGCAACAACTGCAGGCCACAGGGCAAGACAGAAGCTCAATTTGATGAGTCAGGAGGTAGCCAAGCTGACAGCTCCTTTAAGCAGCCAGCTACACTGAGCTGAAGCTCAAGAGAAATCTGGACAGAAAACACAGATGTAAAGAGCATCAGAAGACAGATGAAACAGAAAGTCAAGGGCTGGGTGGGACAGCACACTGAGTGCACCAGGCACACTGATACATAAGGCGAGAGCAGAGAGACACCGGGATAATCCCAAGACCACAAAGGGTTTAAAGGTACAAGTCCATTTCTCAGTGATCTCCCTCAGAAGGCTACTTATGTGCTCCACTAAAATAAGGAAGCAGCCAGCCATGCTGGTGAACAGCTGTGATCACAGAACCTGGGAGGCTGAGGCAGGAGGCTTGCCCAGAGGTGGAGGCCACCTGAACTACGTAGTGAGATCCTGTCTCAAAATATCAAAAATAAATAAATAAAATAAGGAGGTTAAGTTAATAAGATGATGTAGAGCTCAGAGATAAGAGGACCCAACACAGAAAAGACAGGAAGGCAGCCCCAGGATGATGGTTAAGAAAATGCCCGAGAGGACACCAGGGCAGGAAGCCACAGGAGTAACACGATCAGGGAGCAACTTCTTCAAAAAACAGCAACACAGATAGAATTGCTAAACACGCTGAAAGGAGAGTTATGAAATTTAATAAACTCTGCTGCTGATGTGCAGTAAGTACATAGTAGACCAAGCACAGTACTCAATGCAATCATTAACTCCAAAGGAAACAAAACGCTCAGTAAGAAAGACCAAAGCATCTCGTCCCTATGTTATACTGAGAGGAGGATTTACAGCCTTTCATATGTTTAGATGTAAGCCCAGGATACAGGGGAACTAAAACCATGACATAATTATAGTGATAAGAGAGGAGAAAGCAAACTGCTCAGTTCCACGGCTGAGGTTAATAAACAAGGCCCAAATCTAACATACAGAGAAAGGGCAACTAAAGCACGCCACCTAAATGTGGAGGCAAACTCACTTTCCCCCAGTAAGCCTTGATTAGCGGGAAAGGGGAGAAAAAATAATTTTTCATAACAAGCCTCATAACTGTTTGACTTTTCTCATACCAGGGAATAAACTTAGGACCCTGCACTTGCCAGGTAGGCAGGGTGCCACTGAGTTACATCCCTGGCCTCTGTTTGACTCTTTAAAGTCTGCACGTCTGAGAGGGTTAGACAGGAAAATCCAAGTTTGAACCCAGCCTAGGCAAGTTAGCAACTTCGTGGAACCCAGTCTCAAAACTAAAAGAAAGAGAGTGGCACGGGATGGAAGGAAGGGTGGAAGGAAGAAAGGGAGCGAGGGAGGCAGAGAGGGAGGAGGGAATTTAAGAAAAGGGCTGGAGATGTAGCTCAGTGTATCATTGTGGAGGCTCTGGGTTGAATCCCCGGTACAATAAAATAATTATATACTATGTTACTGATATTAATATTTAAATAAAAAAGCATTAAACAAGATACAAGTGCAATATTGTCTGCCCTTTAAAAGTAAAAGAGAAGACTTCATGGCTAAAAGAAACCAAGAATATGTGAAATTTTGTAAGAACTGTTCATCTCTAAGACAGAAGGCGAAGATAGCCTAGAGGAAAGCAATGATCCAATGTCCCTGTCAAGGAGTGGGCCAGGACACAGGCCACCCACCGGAAGGGAAGGGGCAGGCGGGCGGAAATGGTGCTCACCTTGATGATGTTGTCGGGGGCCCTGTTCAGATTGAGGTTCTTGATCCTGACAGTCAGCTGGTGCGCAGTCTTGCAGGTCAGGAGGTACTTGCTGATCAGAGGCTTAGGGAACTCGGTCCCTTCAAAATGCTTCAACCCTAAAGCTAGCAAACTTGGGAAAGGAGCAAAGGCATTCAATCTCCATTCTGTCCTTTCTAGAAACCCTCCTCGCCTGGGTGTAGTGGTGCACACCTGTAGTCCCAGCACTCGGGACACTGAGGCAGGAGTTTGAGGCCAGCCTGGGCTATGCAGTGAGCTCAAGACCAGCTTGAACTACAAAGTGAGACCCTGTCTAAAAAAAAAAAAAAAAAAAAAACCCAAAAAAATAAAAATAGCTGGGGATTTAGCTCAGTAGTTCTGCCACCTACTTCACAAGTGCAAAGACCTGAGTTCGATCCCCAGTACCAAAAAACAGATTCTTCAAAAAAATAAATAAAAACCCTTCCCAGGGCCAAGGATTTAGCTCAGTGGCAGTGCACCTGCCTTCACAAGGTGCAAGTTCCTGAGTTCAATCCCTGGTGACGGGGGAGGAAAAAAAAAAAAAAAGGTTAAAAAAAAAACCTTTCCCAAAGTAGTCTTCTTTTTTGGGGGGCTTGGGGTGCCTGGGATTGAATTCAGGACCTTGCACTTGCAAAGCAGGTGGTAGAACCACTGAGCTAAATCCCCAGCCCTTTTATTTTTTGTTGTTGTTATTATTTTTTGAGGCAGGAGTTTTGCCTCATATTCCAGGCTGGCTTTGAACTCACTATGTAGCCCTGGCTGGCCTCAAACTCATGCTGATCCTCCTGCCTCAGCCTCCTTAGTGCTGGGATTACAGATGTGGGCCACCATGCCCAGCTACCACCTATGTCATAATCTACTTTTTTCTACATCTAGTTCTTGTTCAACCAGGTATGGTGGCCCACACTTATAATCCCAGAACTCTGGGAAGCTGAGGCAGGAGAATCACAACTTCACCCCTGCAACTTAGCAAGTCAGTGAGACCCTGTCTCACAAAAAAAATCTTTTAAAAAGTATCTCTATGTAAGTCCTGAGTTACATCCCTAGTACTACCAATAATAACAATAATTCTTATACACATTGTCAACTATAGACAATTACAGATATCTAGTGCGTGCTACTAAGTATTGCAAGTATAGCCAGACAGGAAGGGTTGGAAGTGTAGTTTCAGTCACAGAGCATAAGGCCCTGGTTCAATCCCCACCACTGGAAAAAATAAAAAATAAACAGGAGTTAGTTCACAATTAAGTAGGAATAGGAAAAACAAGGCATAAATCATTAACACTCCAAACATGGTCACCTGAAATCACAGCTACCTGAGAGGCTGAGGCAAGGAAGACCACTTTGAGCCCAGGAGTTCAAGGCCCACCTGGGCAACATAGTAAGACCCACATCTTGGAAAAAATATATATGGTATCATGATGAGGTTTATGCTAACTGCAGAAAGGAAACTCAAAAGAGCACACAAAAGGAAGACACGCTAATAATGCAGGCACACATCTGCACCGCATCACGTAGCGAAAGACACTGCCTCTGATCCCCAGAAACCCTCTCACTTCACACACACAGCCCATCATTCCTGCCGCTCTCCGGCGCATTGCTGGAGTCTTCTTTCACATCCTTAGACAGACAAGATTTGGGTGAAGAAACTGTTACTTTAATAAAAGACAATTTAGAAAGCCTAAGGAAAGAGCCAGGTGTGGTGGCACACACCTGTATCCCAACCTTTTGGGGAGGCCAGGCAGGAGGATCACAAGTTCAAGCACAACCTAGGCAATGTGGCAAGACCCTGTCTCAAAAAATGGAAAGGGGCAGGCTCAGGCCTAGAGCAGCTGGGCGCCGCAGGGTGAGATCCCCAGTACAAACAAACAAACAAGAGTACACAGCATTTAATGAGTAATTTGACTCTTAGGAATTTACCCACAGGACAATTTAAAAAGCCTAATTAAACAGCTAAACAGAGAGGAGAAAAATGGCCAACAAAACAGCTGTCACAGGGCCACTGAAACACTGCATCGGCAGGGCACAGTGGTGCATGCCTATTATCTCAGCACCTTGGGAAGCCGAGGAAGGAGGTGCCTCCAATTTTTTTTTTTTTTTTTTTTTTTTTTTGGTAGCAGGAATCAAACTCAGGGAGAAAAGAAGGAATAAGAAAAAACGCTGAAAATGGAAAAAGTAGAAACGAAGCTTTTGTACATAGGGAGGAGAGGGGCATAAGAGAAAGGTAAAAATGAAATAATTATTTTTTTAAAATGGAAAAAGAAAACCCATTGCCATGGGGCAGGGGGACAGAACGGGCAATTTTTTTCCTTTAATGGTTTTACAATAAATGAAAGACAAAACAATGACAGAAACTGTTTCCAAATGTGTGTGGCATCCGCCAGAACAAGCAGAGAATGTAGGGCTCTGTGGAGCTGAGCTCCGCTGTCTCTGCACCCGTGCCCCGTGCCCCGTGCCCCTGCTTCTCCTGGGGCATCTGCCCATCAGCTCCGCCACAGTAGACACTTACTTGTCCTCAGCCTTAGTGAAAATGAGCTTATCCTGAGGGTTCTTTGCCTTCAGGGAACACACCGGAAGTAGTTCTGGATACATGAACACTTTGCTGGTGGCCAGGATCCAAGCCACCTGCTTTGGCAAACAGGAAAACTCATGGCCTATAAGAAAAAACATCTCTGGTAAGTGGAATCCTTGGACCACAGGGCTCACAATTTTGAATGTATTTCTGTGTGTAGACAGAGATGTCCTTATCTGACTAAATCCCCGCCCGCTCACCCACTCTCCCCCAAAAGGTTTCCAGTTTCTCAACCTAACGTGGCCCTACCGGCAGCTCCATTCACTCTCAGTAAGTTCGTTCTTTTATTCTTTCCTGTGTGCCACACTTAACATAAGTAACAAACACAAAGCACCTAGTAATGCTTGGCCCACGATGTGTGCTCAAAAATGTTTTAAATCCTTAAAAGACATGAGAACTTCAACAATGCTTTCTTTCTTCCAGGGTAAGAGTCCAACTTAATCTCCCTCACAAATCTGGTATTCCAAATTTTATTTTTATTTGATTTGTACTTAACTTTAAATTCTCCCAGATTCTTCCTGAGGCTGGGAACAAAAAACACCGTAAAGGGAATGAGACAATTCAGTCTCACTCATTTGTCCTCCCCTCTAAGCCTCTCAAGTCCAGGCACCTCTGCCTTTCTACACACATGAAGTACGATGTCCACACTTCTCTTTCTGTGTTATTTTTATATGCCCAGTAGAAGAACGTAGGACATGGGCCAGGGATTTAGCTCAGTGGTTCCGCCGCCCGCCTCATAAGCACAAGGCCCCATGTTCGATCCCCGGTACAAAAAAAAAGAACATAGAACACTAAGTGTAAAAGTTATTACTCTATTATTGTGTTAAGTTTTCATTGCCAACTATCAATAAAAAGCAACACGGGGGTCAGGGGTTTGGCTCAGTGGTTCCACCACCTGCCTTCCAAGCACAAGGTCCCGAGTTCAATCCCCGGTACCTTGGCGGGGAGGGGAAGCAGCTTGGAGATCTACATCTATGGATAATGTAAATTTAACTATATCCAATTTAACTATAAGATTCAGGAATTTCAAATCATATCCACATACAAACCAAAATCCAGAGCAATCTACAACTAATTCAAGAAATAAGTCAGAAGCAAGTATTTGGCTATACAGAACACAGCAAATATTTTCTCAAAAAAACACTAAACTTCCAGGAGTAGTGGTGCATACTGCAGCTACTTGGGAGGCTAAGGCAAGAATATCACAAGTTCAAGGCCAGCACTGAACAACTCAGAAGACCCACCTCAAAATAAAAGTTTGAACATGTCTAAAGCTGAAGCTGGACACGGCAGCATATGTTTGTAAAACAAGCCTTCCAGGAGGCAAAATGACTACAAGTTCAAGATGAGTGTAAGCAACAGGGAGACCCTATCTCAAAAAAAAAACAACAAACAAACAAAAAAGAGTGTCAACTACCCTACAATCAGGGTAGGGGGTCAGTCTTAATGAAAAAGAGTAAAAATCAAAACCAATTTTCACCAAGGGACTTTCCCCTTCACCAGACCCCAGTCTGTCTTCATCTGACACCTCACAGTCACCTGCACATCATTTAAGCGCAGTCCTCAGCAATGCGTTCCACATCTCCAGCCCCAGAGCCCTATTCTGCCGACTGCCTCTATGCCTCTCTTCCCTGAGCAGTATTATTGCACAGTTCTAAACAGAGTACAAGGACAGGACAAAAGACAGACAAATCCCCCGTGTCCTGAACTCCTAGGAGATGATCCATCTAAGACTCCCATCTTTCACTGCAACGGAAAGCCTGAGGTTGACACTGCTGACCCCTACCATTCTTGCGCACAGTTTTCGGGGGGATCCAGTCAACGCTGATGTGTGTGCTGAAATCCTCAATCAGATGCATAGCTCCCAGCAAGTTACAGGGTTGGAACAAGGTCTGAAACGTGGGGTTGGACTGATGGTGAAGAGCAGTGGAGCTCTGAGCAAAGGTCCCCAGCTCTTTCTGGGAAAACAGGACACAAAAGAAATCTAAGAATCAGTAGCTCTGAGCCTCAGTATGAGAATCTGTCCCTCCTACCTCAGAACGAAACAGACAGAAACAGCCTTCATAATTAACATTATTTCGTCAAGACTCCTCTCTGGCTGAGCCCTCACACATGCAGGGATTGTGTAACATGCTCATTTGTTTTCATTCTTTTTTCTCAGACGAGGATTCCTCAGCCTTGTCGATATGATGCAGCTAGCTCCAAAGGGAAAATTAAGCTTCTCAAGAATGAGAGCTATTATTTGTAAAGATTCCTCTGAGCCATGCCTAGAACAAAGTTCTCCTCAAGATCCTCTGACACAGTAAGAGGTGAATACACTCTGCTGCCCATAAAGGAAGCTTGGAGTATGACCAAACGCATTACTCAAATTCCAAAGAGATGAACCTGAGAAACAGATAATATCATCATTACCCATCCAAAAGTTCAGGGGCAATTTGTAAAGAATTTCAAATTTTAGATTTAGAAGCCCTTCTAGCAGGCTGTGGAGGTGCATACCTGTAACCCCAGCACTTGGGAGGCTGAGGCAGGAGGATCACCTGAAGTTCAACACCAGCCTGAAGATACACAGTGATTGCAAGGCAAGTGTGAACTGCATAGTGAGACCCTGTCTCAAAAAGAGAAAGAAGCCCTACCACAAACTGCTTCAAAATGTCATGAGCAAAATTAATTCTATACAGAAAACATTAATCAGAGCTTAATGAATAGATAATACATTCAACATCTTAAAAAACAACATACCAAGTTAGGTGTGATAATGCATGCTTGTAATCCCAATATTGTGAAAGATTAAAACAGAAGGGTAGGGGCAGGCCGCACACAGCTCAGCAGAACAGTGGCTGGCTGACCAGTGTGAGGCCCTGAGTTTGATACCTCATACCAAAAAAATAGAGAGAGAGAGAGAGAGAGAGAGAGAGAGACAGACTCAGAAGGGTAACAGATGTGAGTCCAACCTATAATCCCAGCACTCAAAAGGCTGAGGCAGGAGGACTGTCCCAAGTTTGAGGCCAGCCTGAGCTAATACTGAATTCAATGCCAGTCTCTACTATATACCAAGACCTTTTCTCAACAGAAAAGG